TATTACTGTTGTGGCGACGCCACTCTAGCTTGTCCGCTGCTCTCTGCTGTGCGTGCGTCAGCACGAACATTTACGCAAGCGCGTCTTTTGATTTCAACCAATCAGCGCTGACGCAACAACGTCACACACCCGATGTCACACACGACAACAGCTAAATTAAGCTAGCCGAGACGAGACTCGAAGTCGGACGGACACGTTTTTCTGCCAATCTGTGTGTTTCCCTTTTTGTCCAAATATATTTTTTTACAACTGTCTTGTCCACGGTGTCTTTTGTTCGTTCCACTGGGGTTTAGCAAGTGTGTTTATAAAGAGACAAAAATCTCTTTACTGTTACTAGTGTTAGTGTTTCAACACGGCTACGCTCGTGAAAGCAAAACAACAAACTCAAACGCGTCTTCGTTCAATGTTGTCAACTAATATCCGGATTAATTTTCGGCAAATTTTCCTCAATTCTCCGGACAGACTTTCATAAAAATTTGAAAAACCCGGAATTCCGGGAAAATCCGGAGGACTTTCATCTCTGCACAAAGTAGTCTGTTTGAGTGTTGGCGAAAGCACCTGTCAATTAGTGTCCGGCAGAACCCTTTTAGGTTACAATTTGTTCCTGCTCATAATCACCACTAGATGGCATCGGAACACTAACAGGGAAACAACTCAATGGGGAATAGAAAGAGGGTTACAGTCTCTTTATATTAGACGAATCGGATTATAGGGCGCACTGTCGGCTTTTGAGAAAATTGAATGCTTTTAGGTGCGCCTTAGAATGCGGAAAATACGGTACAGAAAAATTGGAGTTGGACCAGTATCCCGGATGATATTGTAGTGGACAAAAGAACTTCAATTTTATCCAAAGCTGTAACTACCTGAATCTGAATCTTTCAAGGCTGTGAAGGTCACTCACCTGATCATATTCAGAAGAGGACACAAGGAAAAGGATGGAAGTGACTGAGTCGAAGCATTCAAACCAGCGCCGCCTCTCTGAACGCTGACCCCCTACATCCACCATTTTGAAAGGCACATTTTTAATCTCAAAGTCGTACTCGTGGATGCCCTTGGTGGGCTTTCGGGCCAAGAGGATATCCTGCTGGCTGGGGAGGTAGTCCTGGAAAGGAGAAAACCAAATTCACATTTCCGTGCCCGTCAGTTGCTGTGTAGTCGAGATAAATGAGGTGCCTTCACTTCTTGTGTTGCTTTGTTCATGTCCCCATTTAAAACTCAGCATTCCTGGAATACCACAGAACATAAACAAATGACGGGCTTTTGGAGAGTGTGTGTGTGTGTGTATTGCATTCCGGACACAACACAGCATTGGCCAAGATTATACTGATGTGCGGTGTGTGTGTGTGTGTGTGTGTGTGTGTGTGTGTGTGTGTGTGTGTGTGTGCGTGCGTGCGTGCGTGCGTGCGCGCGTGTATTGTGTGAGCCAGATATTCCACAATCCAATTCCACATCGATTCTTGCTTTCCAAACCCACTTTCACAGTGCATCTCGACACGCACTGGTCAACATAAGCCACCATTATTATGGAAGCTACGGTTGGAGCTTTTGACGAGGCCTCTCTCAATCATTCCCTGTAACCTGTGACAAATTTAAATCAAAGTCATTTTACCGCTTTGTGCATTTTCTTCACATCAGGGTCTTTTCTTTACGTCGGGAATGTATGGTGCTTGTAGCAAGTGTTTGAATTCATAAAAATTATGAATTTCAAGTTGTTAAGCTGTGTGCTATTACTCCATTGTTTCTGACTGTTCAAGTTTGCATCATGGTATCGTTCGCTTAAGTTATATGTTAAGTTCACGTTCAACTGGTCATTCATAAGAAACCGAGCTGCCAACTAGAAACCTACATCACTGGATGAGGCAGTGATGGAAGGAGTGATTAATCATCAATTATGAAGCCACATTTTGAAGTCAGCATTTTGAATTGCTCTTCTTTCTGACTAACTGTCTTTAGGGGTGTCCACACGGCACACATTTGCATCGGTGCTGCACCGATATATTTTGTTGCGATATATCTTACATATATATACACATAT